AAACTCTTCCTCTCGAACTTTCATAAGATCAAGAACTATGTAGCTAGTATGACAATCATTCTATGGATCTGTATGTACAAATGTATAAACAAGATGATATCTTTTTTAGCAGACCAGCATGCTGTGTGGTCCTATTATGAACTATTTGGAGGACAATTCCAGCTTACCAATGCACCCAAAATCGAGCGTTTTGGACCGGAATTGAAAAAGTTATGAGTATTTTCAGAAATCAAAAGTTTCTCTAAACACTAATGAGCCAAATTTCAGTGCTTGTTACAGGTTGTAATTGGATGATTGTGAAGGTTTATTGTTAGTACACTTATCAATATGGACTGTAAAAATACGGAACAATATGCAGAGTGAAGTTCTCAACGCAGGGAACAAGATGCATATTTTTATTCATTTTTTGCTCTCCTCCTGGCCTCTCAATATTTTTGTGTATCAATAATTTAATTTTCTGCCCAGAAAATATTATCTTTCTTGTAGTGATACTGCCATCAACATGATCTATACACGAGATTGGGTAGGTTTAACAGATTTATATGCAAGTCGCTGCTTAATAACACCTTTGAATGCCACGGTCAATGCTATCAACGATGTGGTTCTGGACTCGCTACCGGGTGAATATTATACTTCAACCTCAATTGATGAGATGGACGAGAACTTCTTTGACCCAGTGACAGTCGACATATTGAATAGTTTCAACTTTCCAGGGTTCCCAGCACATGATCTCAGATTGAAAGTAGGTTCATCAGTAATGATTCTACGAAACCTGGCTATTGCGACTGGACTATGTAACGGAACACGTCTGCTCATCACAGATTATGCACCAAATGCTTTACAGTGTCGGATTTTGACAGGGGAATTGAAAGGTACTGTGATAAGTCTACCAAAAATCAAATTAAAGCATGAAGGAAACGAAGATTGTCCTATTCCTTTTTTTCGATATCAGTTCCCGATCACTCCTGCTTTTTGCATGACCATCAACAAGAGCCAGGGTCAAAGTTTGGAAAAGGTATTGGTCCTACTTCCAAAACCAGTATTCACTCATGGTCAATTATACGTGGCGTTGTCACGATGTACCAGTGCCGCTAACGTTCATGTTTCCATGGTAACGGAGTCTGATAGATTAGAGACTGATAATATAGTGTTCCATCCAGTGTTGCTAAATTAGGAATATATTATATTTGGTGTACCTCAGTGGGTTCGTCTTGAATCAGACTTGATTGTAACACTGTTTTTGCCTTCCATTTTTTGTGTATGCAATAGAGTCTTATTATTTTATGCATAAAGAAGGATGTGGGGTCTTTTTTTAATCAGTTGTTGTTTTTAGTTACTAGAGTAGTGCAATGCTTTGTTCCTTATAAGATGACAGGGAGTGGTTGTACAAAGATGACTAAAGTCATGTACTTGGTGAGCGGGATCAAATAAGACCTGACATTTGTGAGTGAAGTGAGAATACTCCATATGCCTCGCCTAGCATAAAAAGGTCAAAAGTAACATCGTGGGAGGTGGACCAGGAGATGTGTAACATACAACATGGGCTGGTATATAGAGTAGCAGTCATTTCAAAGCGGCGCCCGCCGCCCAAATTTCTAGTAGCTATGAAACCCAAACGTTTTGCAGGAAAAAACAGTTATAATTTGCAAGAAACCACAAAATAACTATCATTGGCATTGTAGATTGGAAATTTGTAATTGTTGCACACCAGAGCATCTATTCCAGATGAGAACACTGAACTTCTGGTGGGACTGAAGAAGAAAAAACTGGTTAGGAAACTTTAGGGTTAGGGGTAGGGTTAGGGGGTTAGGATTAGGGGTTAGGATTAGGGGACTGGGATTAGGGGATTAGGATCAGGATTAGGGTTAAGGGATTAGGCTTAGGGCAGGATATAATTTTATCTACGCAGTTTACACCATGCAGTCATTCAGGGTGTGGCACAAAAAGCACAAAAAGGTGTGTCAAAGTTCAGGTGTGCCTGGGAGTGCACAGAATTCTCAAAATATCTACCGACACACCCTACAGTTATTCTTCAGGTTGTGACAAAAATTTCAGTGCGGCGCCTGCCGCCCAATTGTGCTAGTCATTACTAATCCCTAATGCCATCTTTTGTTCAAAAGTCTACATCACAGATTGAGCAAATTTTCAGTGTAAGAATTCAGGAATCAGCTGGAATTAAAATCTTACTACAATTGATTACTACTGAGCCTTGGAAACAGATGGTGGGTGATCTCAGTTTTTCTATTTTGTAATCTTAGAAGGTTGAATAAATTAATGTGTTTGAGTATGGTGTACTAGATTATTTGCCAGTTTGAAGATCTTCTCCCTGTGCATATATATCATATAGCTGGTGTCCCTCAGAGTTGGGCCTGGAATGTCTTGATTCCCATCATATGTTACAATTCTAAATATCAATCTTTGTCTGAAAACATTGTATACCAGCCACCAAATCACATAGGACACTTTTACATACTTACTCATTATGTGGCCAGAAACCAATCCACAAGTTGAGTTTGACATCTTTTCAAATGTACATATTTCAAATAATCCAAATGCTTTTTCAATTGATCCTAAATTACCTTTGATTTCTCATAATCAGACTACACTTTCTTGACCGGGTAGAGGAGTTCATTTTGAGTTCAATCAACCCAGTCTTAGTGCCAATCCAAATAATGAGTATGTACCACACTATCATACAATCTAGTTCTTGAATTCCCAAAGTGAGTATTTTTTTGCAGTCATGTTGGTTTGATACTCCAACATTTTACTGAGATTTTTGTTTAAATTGTTGTTTCAGTTTGCAGCTTGGACTTAAAGTAAATATTATCAATCAAAAACCTTCTGGATATCTCATGAAAAACTAACATTCATTTGATTAACCAATCAGAGTATAATTTTCCTCACTTGAATTTATTCCATGTAACATACTATTCTGGCTCAAAAATCAACCTTTCTCAGCACTTTCCTTGCCAAGTTGATTACCATCAATCAAGCACAATCCATCC